GAAAATGGCGGCCATCTTGAATGAGCAGAGATATTTTTGGGCCCACTTCACTTTTGAAATCTACATGGTCTAAAGATAATTTCCTGAAAGTTTGATGCTTGTATCACAATTTGCACTATTTTGACAGCAGAGACCTTATTTCCCGCCCCACTAATAGTGAAAATTAGGTAAGCAATTAGACGGTTAAAATTATGCAATGCACGCCCGGAGATGAGTTGTCACATCCTCATAATCAAATTTAAAGACACGTATAGATAGATATTCTGGTGAAAATATACCGACCTTTGTAAACCAAATGACATTTTGAATGTGTGTGAATAATATGACATAGTGGGTTTAAGTGATGTAACAGCATATTTAGACATGCTATAGGACATATTTGCGGAAAGCAAATGCTTAAGGCTAGGTCAGATCATATTAATTGTATATGTGTGTGTAATTTTTTTATAACATTGAGCGTGCTCCTTTAAAGGATTTAAAACATGCTCCGCGTCTTTGACCTGTGGGGCTTTTTCGTTTTATTTCATAAATTATCAAACTGCCAAGGTGACATACATGCGATTCATTTAGGGAACACCTATTTCACAACTTATGAAAAATATTTCAAAAAATAATGTAACTGCTTATGAAAACATCCTCCCGAGGATTGACTTTGCTACATATTTAAATGAACTTTGGAAATATTGATCAAATAATATTGTTGTTAAAGCAAGATTGAATACTGTTTAAGTCAGTTTTTGGGGCGATAAGACATGTTGTTTTTAGTTTAAAGTTGATTTATTGTATTTAATTAAATCGAGTCAGCTGTCATATTCAAGAGAATTTGCTGTTGAATTTCAATTATATTTAAATCTCTCACCGAAATTAAGTGTTGAATACATTAAATATTGATTCACAGAGCGTGTATAGGTCAGGATGCACATTGTCGAATCATCTGTGACAATTAAGGCGATGATGATGATATGATGATGATGATAATAACATCGTTCTGCTGCTTCTCCTTATGATGATAGTAGTCTGGGAAAATATAAAAATCAAGTTATTGTTGATGGTGATGATGAGCAACTTCATTGATTAATATGATTATGATGATGGGCTATTGGGATTTGTTAAATCTAGGAAAAGGGGTATGTTTAGGCTTTTTTGATATAAACCGCTGACTGATGATAAGTCTATGAATATGGAAAATCAAGGGGTAGACAGTGGATAGTTTTATATATCGATGAATAGGGTGATGAAGTTTTGGTTAGTCTAGGAACGGGTTGGGGTGGGTAGATAAGCATGGAGGTAAATATCAATGTCGTTTTTACTGGAAATTAAGGAAAGTATAGGAATCTGCTAAGACTAGGAATGGTGGAAAATACAGTAATGTAACCAGTCTATGTATAGCGGTTAGAGATTAGCTGAATATATATAGAGGTCAAAGGTAAGCTGAAATTATTTATATCAGAATAAAAACAAGTGAAATCAACATGTGAGTGCTATAGATTTTCATTGCTCTTTCCTGTGTAGCAATGACAAAATCGGAATCTGATTTTGTAAGCTCGTGTCCTATAGGAAGGCACAAGTGTTTCAGTCGCGGTCAAGTTGCCAACAATGTATGTAATATCATTGACTTTCAACTGCGAATCTAAAGTTTTTTTCTAAAGAGAAATGGATATCTAATTTCTTGAAATATAGGTAAACTACTGGGACGCCTGCTAGGTAACTGTAGCGTACATCGGTCCTACAAGGTAGGACCTCATAGTCAGCTGATACACTCGACGTTAAACTATATGATTTTATAGCTAAAATGTAATATTTTGGAAATAGATAGCAATTTGCGTGCATTGTTGTAGAAGTTCATATACGCAGAAATATAATCACGAAGGTGTAAATATGCACTTGATCTGTCCGATAGGGGAAAAGTGTATTGGTGTTAAAATAGTAAATTACAAGAGCGATCAGTAATCACATGTGTCGCCTCATGATGGCCAATTTTATGTTGGGACAAGTTTTGTGACAGACGGACAGACAGACGGACAGTGCGCAACTAGACTTGGTACTGATCATTCCTGTAGAGTTTGGATAAAATTGCACCAGTAGTTTATGAGGAGTAGTCCGGACAAGCTTTTGTGTATCTGGCAACACACAGAAAAAACAAACTTTTTATCAAAGAGCCATTTCTCGGCCAAAAATCATTCAATCGGAAAACCCGTGCAATATGCGCAAGGACTTGAGCTACAGATCAATCCTGTAAAGTTTCATTGAAATTGCTTTAGTGGTATGAGAGGAGTAGTCCGGACAAGCTTTTGTGTATCTGGCAACACACAGAGAAAAACACCTTTTTATCAAAGGGCCATAACTCGGCCAAAAATCTTTCAATCGAAAAAAACCCGTGCAATATGCGCAAGGACTTGAGCTACAGATTAATCCTGTAAAGTTTCAATGAAATTGCATTAGTGGTATAAGAGAAGTAGTCCGGACAAACTTTAAAAATAAAAATTATTAAAGGGCCATTACTCTGACAAAAATCATTGAACCAGAAAATGCTGACAATATGCACAATTAGACTAAGTACTGATCATTCCTGTAAAGTTTGCATGAAATTGCACCAGTAGTTTTTGAGGAGTAGTCCGGACAAGCTTCTGTGTATCTGGCAACACACAGAGAAAAACACCTTTTTATCAAAGGGCCATAACTCGGCCAAAAATCATTCAATCGGAAAACCCGTGCAATATGCGCAAGGACTTGAGCTACAGATTAATCCTGTAAAGTTTCAATGAAATTGCATTAGTGGTATAAGAGAAGTAGTCCGGACAAACTTTAAAAATAAAAATTATTAAAGGGCCATAACTCTGACAAAAATCATTGAACCAGAAAATGCTGACAATATGCACAACTAGACTTGGTACTGATCATTCCTGTAAAGTTTGGATGAAATTGCACCAGTAGTTTAGGAGGAGTAGTCCGGACAAGTTTTGTGACGGATAGACGGACAGACAGACGGACGGACAGACGACGGAGAAGTGATCCCTATATGTCGCCACTACTCCGTAGAGGCGACACAAAAATTAGGTATGCGATGTTATATAATCAATTATGTGAGTGTGTGTGCTTTTATTTAATTCGTGGATTGTCTGTTTATGCAAATAGATCTAGTGTAATGTAGAAACTTGCAGCACAGGAAACAAAATTTAATTGAATCTTGAATCTCTGGATTCACATACCCACTTTATCCACGAACAAAAAATGTTGTGCAAATAATAATGATTTTGTAGTACATCATATTTCAAGCTATACAAAGATAAAAAATCAGTATGTTCTCATTTTACTCTAGACTATTTCACCTTTAAAGTTATTGTCAATTAAAGGACCGTGTCGAATATATTGCCAATTAAAGGACCGTGTCGAATTTATTACGATTACATGTTGATAATAATTAAGTGCTATTTGGTTTACTATGACATAGCATTTTACAATAAGCGCTAAACTCATCAGGGAATAAACATTTAATATACTCTAAACCCGTTGTTTTAACGTCATAAAACTCATATCTACCATTTCTAAAGAGGGGGAAAATAGACATTTCTTGGGCAAAGTGTGTCATTTATAGATATATAGCTTTGACAGCACTGTCTTCGTCCAATAGAATTCTGCATTGTTCTCCATATTAAATGATAAATCTGATAATATCAAATAGATGTGTTTTACCATTATTAAATCTTCAACTGTAAGATTTTATCATATTTTCTACAATCAAAAGATAATAAATAAAAACATAATCAAATAAAACAGTGTACATTTTATTTAGTTCTTTTAAAGAAATACACTACACAACAAGACAGAAATAGGTTATGCATTTTATGTAAAACTTGAAAATAGGAAATGACATAATATTACAATGGCTAAGACAAAGAACAAAAAAGTTAAGAATGTTTGTTTTGTTTTGGTTGGTTGTTGGTTTGTTGTTGTTTTTTTTTGTGGGTTTTTTGTGTGTTTGTTTGTGACTGACTTGTTTGTACTTTAAAATGTTATGAACTTTTATATAGGACAGTTTCGGGGTTGCTTGAATGTATGAATCTTGCAAAACGGATTAAGTATTAGTAGGCTTCGCATATAAATACGAATTCTCTTTAATAAATACGTCACAGCTAATCAAAACAAGTATAGGTAAGAGTGCATATTGGATGTTCTTCGTAAATAAGAAAGCTAAAAAGGAGCGGAGCTTGCGAAGCGACTGTAGCTTTCTTATTTACGAAGAACATCCAATATGCACTCTAACCGGCTTAGTGCTCCGCCCACTTGCGTTTTATAATATAAAACGTCCAGTTTATATAAAATCTATTTTATATAAGTTCTATTAAGATTTGTAACTTTAAAAATTTGAAAAATCCTTGTCGGTGATTGGCTTTAAAAAATTAGCAAGCACTAAATAAGAATGGCTCAATAATTATAACAATAAAGGCTTCTTCAGCAAAATGATAAATGTTTCAAAGTCATTGCACTTAGTTATTATGCCCGTCTCCATCAAAACGCTTATCATTCTGTTTGCTGTATAATTATATTCTTTGATTGATCGGGTGAGTTTCATGCATGACCTCCTCCACATTAATTGATTGAAAGATTTAATGTAAACAATATTTTCATACGAGTTTAAAGACAAACGGGTGCATTTACTGTTAACTTTGGATGAATTAGTATCCTGTAATGTGCCTCTTTATATCGTTCCCCGTTCTATTCTGTCCAGCGCCTTCCAGTTGGTCCTTTGTTGCTAAATGTTAAAAAGACAAACAGTATTGTTTCAATTTCCATCATATCTCTTTGTACTCTTTCTTTGTTCACTACTATAATGTGATAATTAAATCTATACATCAAGATATAGATTTAACAGGAAAATGCATGTATAAACTTACGTGCTCCGAATACATTAAGAGTATAATAAAATAACTAAAAGTTTGACACAATATTTTTTCCCTTCAAAATTATGTAGGACAGAAGTAAATAAGCGTGGATCACATATTTAGTTATTTGTTCTATTTGCATTTCAAAAATGCCTCAATGCTATCATCATAGTTTAGCATAAATGGAGTATTTTGTTTCGGGTCGATTGTACCAGTATGTGTGCTTGCATGACATTGATCCCTGTATTTTGCAAGTCCAAACTCCTTTCTGTCTTTGACCATCTTATTGAGAACTTCTTCATTTTTCTCAATATTACTATGGTATCCCGATAATTCAGCCAGGTGTGCTATTAATTCAGTTTGGAAATGAAGCACTTGTGATTCGGAAGTGCAGGCATTTGCCCGTTTAAACCATTGATGACTATCGGCTTGCATCTCTTTCTTTTCCTTTGGTTCATCTTTCAATTGACCCATAATGTATCTGAAAGATAACGCTTAAACGGTTGTGTTTGTGCATACACTTAAATCAACGGTTATCATAATTGTTTAACAAAGTTCATCTCCTACGGTTCTTAAAGTATATAAAGCAATATATTAGATATATGTTAATTGTAAGGTTATTCTTTATCTTGCATCAAAAATTATTACAGAATACCGTGAATGAGATAACTTTGTCAGTATACATAATCTAAAGCGAGTGGGGCATGCATGAAATCATTACCAAGCCTACAAAACATTGCAGCAGTATTGTTTGTTTCGGAAAAAAAATCTGTTAATGTATATGATATTCATGCTACACAATATTTCAAAAACTATCATAAGCATGTGAAAACAACCTTTTTTAATGTATTTAAATTCAAAATATTTCATCAGATATAGCATTATACACTTTAATGAATATACCATTGCAATAATATATGCTAGATAACATTCCTTTGAGTATTCTATGCCCAACACCACCACACCTTTAATAAAATCCATCCCATAGCTTTATATAAATTTAGTTTTCTTACAGAAAAGAGACATTGTATGGATCAGTACATTTAAATTAGAAAATGTTTTTAAAGAAATCATGCTTACCTGCAAGTCCAGCTTGCCATAACTTCAAAATATGCAAATGAGTTGAACTGTTCAAGGGTACCTATATAAAATAAACGATTGTTTCCCTCCTTATAAAACAATGTTGCTTTGTACAGCCCTTCAGGATAAGGTTGTGTCTCCTCCGGTATTCTAAATCAGTCTTCCAGGAAAAAAAATAGTTTCTGTACCCTGTAGTTAATATTACAGAGTCAATTTCAGCAGAGGTCCCATCTTTGAAATATGCTTTATTCGAATCAAACCGTTCAACAATTGGTCTTTCCTCAATACCCTCTGGCATAATGCAGGTGTCTCCTTTTGGCCTTGTTCTATATGCCATAATCACATGCTTCGCGCCATATTTCAAACATTGCAGAAGAATATCTTCGCCGGTATATCCAGCTCCTATCAACAACACCCTTTGTCCAGAAAATTCCCTTGGATTTCGAAAGTCGTGCGAATGTAAAATACGACCTTTAAACTGTTCCATTCCAGGAATTTCAGGCAGATTAGGAAAACTGTAGATTCCGGATGCCACAATAACATGTGTAAATGTTTCTTCTAGTATCTTGCTTGTGTTATAATCGTTGACAATGACAGTAAAGTTATTTTTGTTGTCATTGTACTTCACATATCGGACAGCAGTATTAAAATGTATATAGTCTCTAAGGTTTCGTCCATGTGCAACCGCCTTTGTAAAACGACCTTGAATGAAATACATACAGAAATAATAATATCATCAGAAAATGATTCAGATATTGAAAACGACTTTAATCAACATTTGTATTATGTTGGGTGGAGCAAAGTTTTTTTTAAGGCACAAGTTTAACTAGCATTTGTTTATTGGCAGGGTATTTTTTTCTGTTTAATTTTTTCTCCTGATATATAGTTACAGACCAATAAATATATACTGGTCGATGAGCACAGTTCATAAAAAACTATGACTTTTGCAATTTTGTTTCAAACAAATGATAACTTTATTTGATAAATGTTACATATCAATTGTGAAAGTATAAAGAATATTTATAGTGCTTTATTTGTAATGTCTTCATAAAAGATGTTTTAAGCTTCGATTACAAAAGGAATGAAAATGCCATAAAAGAAGCATTACTTATACTGCGTTAAACACTACATCAAAAATGCAAAGTTGTTAATATATCTTTACAGTCACTTATCTGCAAGTATTTTCTACAGCTTCAATTTTGATTTTCCATGCAATCAATTAAGAATAACTAGGAGGTACGGTGGCATAAAAGTGACATTTGCAAATTTATTTTTTGTTTAGTTTTTGATACTTATTTTTTTTTTATTTTTTTTTTCGTACATATTTTTTTTATTTGCATACATATTTTTTTTTGTTTTGATTACATATTTTTTTTTAGTTTTGCATACATATTTTATTTTAGTTTTGATAACATTTTTTTTTTTAGTTTTGCATACATATTTTTTTTAAGTTTTGCATACATATTTTATTTTTATTTTCCGTACATATTTTAGCCAATCAAAACAGCCTTCACATCTCATAACAGCCCATAGATGAGAATAAAACACGGAAACAATAGTAGCACAGTGGTTTGGTCACATTTCGGCCCATTTCTTGGAATCGGCCTAGTCGTTTTCGGTCGAGCAAGTCTGGTTTTCAAATTTTCTGCTTTTTAAATTATAATTATGTATTTTACATAATTATTGTTTTTTATTATTGTATACTATAACATTAGTGTCTATTTGGAAAGGGCTGATTGGTGATCAGTTATTATTCCATGAATATGCACCACTCAACCCTACACCCTGAGAATAGCGGCGGGGGTGCATTTACTTAAAACCATTAAGCCGACCTCTGGTACAATATTCGCCCTGCGGGGGATACTCAGATAATAACATTCTTGCCTTATGCCCCAGAACAGCGCCGTTAAAATAGAGGTGTCATCGAAAAGGATTTTTATATCGATACATTGGTATTGAATTATCGGCGATACAGCGAAATATCGATTGCCAGGCTAAATTTTAGCTTTCAAGTCTTTTTAAATGTTTCCTTAGGACACTGACAAAGCAGTTATATATAGACAAATGCAAAAAAGATAAACTATGAAAACTGAACAATTTGAATACACCGATATCGATTGAATCGATGACACTTCTACGTTAAAACAATTCTTTTTTTAACCCACACTCCCCCGGGGTGAGGGAGGCGGTTAAAATGACTGGTGTATTAAATTAATTAACGCACAATGAAAGATCTAAATAGGTCCTTATAATCCCACTGGTTTAGAAAAAATACTTAAACGATTGAGGGATTTTTATGAAACTTGGATCAATTGTTTAGCACATCCGCGAAGAGTTTGAAAATTGTGATTTACAAATGGCGTAACTACCCAAACCTCTACTTTGCAAATGGCTTCATGTAAAAATATGTACAAAAATAAAATAAACGTATATACGAAAAACTAACATAAAATATGTATGCGCAAAACTAAAATAAAATATGTATGCAAAAGAAAACAAAAAATATGTATACATACAAAAAACAAAAAAAAATGTACGAAAAAAAAAAAAATAAGTATCAAAAACAAAACAAAAAAATGCAAATGTCACTTTTATGCCACTGTAAGGTGGCGATATTTCTTAAAACATGTTTAAACTTATTATTTATAGCACAGAAACGTTACAAACTTTTCTAACTAATCATTTATAGCACAGAAACATTACAAACAAGAATGAAGCATCCCGAATTGAAAAATGTAAGAAAACTAAACTTAACCAAGCCTTGTGTATGAATCTACTGGTCTTTTCTTTAAATGATTCTTGAAATGTTAAAAAAAAATATTACAATAATACCTTCGAGATAGTCTCTCATCGCGGCACGAGGAAGAAATGACGGAGTTTGCTGACCAAAGTGCTGCTCAAACGGGTAATCTGGGTACTGATGTGACTCATATGGACCATTACACCACATATGATGGTACTGACTTGTATGAATAGGTTCTCCGTTCTCGTCCAGACCTTCAAGTACAGAAGTTTAAACTTTTTTTCTTCGTGTCAAATTGTCAGATACGTCATCTTTTCTCATATGAAAGTTTTGAATTTGATATTTTTCATAAATAACATATACATATATTCATATGTAGAACTATATTCTAAAAATGGCGGGATTGAAGACGCAACTGTATACAATTTGGTCGAACTGCATGAAAATGGGCGTCGCCCTGGAGAGTCCGACGAGATAAAAGCTGACAAAATATATTTATTTGACAAATTTCACATGAAAATTTCATAACAAATGGTTCTCGTGTTTCTAGAAAATCTTAAAATTCTTTGTAAATGGGGTTTCGAATTAAAAACACGTAGGTCAATGTGATTTTATTAAGCACCATAGTAGAAAAAATATTACGGTCATAATTGCACTGAAACTTTTTCATATTTGATCTGATTATTTTTTTCAACATAATATTGATTTTGAAAGACATAATTTTCACTTGAAATTATTTTGTAAATTGTCGACATGCGAAGAGTCGACCAAACTTTGTTTTACTTTTTTAACACCAGCCAAATATCATTCGCCAACTCGTAAATATGTCAGAATTTAAATGCAGCATTGATAATATCATCGTCAATTAACAGGGTGATAAAAATGGCCCACCTGTTTTCCAAGAAACGTTCCATAAACCCATCCACGTGCGCTGTTTCTCGTAGCAAACAATTTCCGGCATCTCCTCCATTTTAGCGAAATGAAACAATGTTGACAAACCGGACGGTCCAGCACCTATCACACATATCCTTGGTTTCGACATGTCTTAGAAACTGAAGCAACTACTTAAAAACACGACTATAAATATTACACTCAGGTATGTTTTTATATCAATTGTCATATAAAACTAATCCTTTTGAATGTAATACTACGTTAAGGCTTTATGATTATGTAGGTGAAGTAAAGAGGTCAATGACATCTTTATCAATGAGTTCATTTTGTCTGCGTGTTTAACTGTATTGATTCACCTCAAATGAACCTTTAGTGTCAAACTTTATTTGTCATTCAATGAAAACGCTGTATTTCTAAACATATATGTGCGTTTATTTTAATAGAAGAAAAATTTTAAGTCTATACTATATCAAATTTCGTTCAGAGCTAGTCGACTTCTATTTTTCATTAAATAGTCATTTACATAAATTTGCACATGCGCTTTTGTGGGCCGCTTTTGAATATTAATTAAGCAAAAAATCAGCATACATTAATTTTGCATTATTAAATACAGGATATGCAGTTCAGATTTGAGTCCACGTCCCATGGTCCTAGTGAAAAAGATACTGTACGTGTAAAAGTAAAAATCAATATAAAATGTCAGTTTATTACGAATGATTATGTAGGAAAAGGGAAAGTCACGTGTGTCTATTCGCTTAGACAGAAAGTGAAAGTAGACATTATGTTTTTGGAAAATACATTACTATGGAGGGCGATCGTTGCCAAAATTCCAGACATGTAATGTGTTCCTTTTGAAAACTACTTTTGAAAATGCGAACATGTATGTCTAGCATTTTTGATTGCATTCGTGCACAGCAAATGATATGCCTCTTAATTCAATCTTTTAATTGAAGGCACCCGCTTTTAAATAACAAGTTTACATGTAAATCTTAACAACTGACCTAACACACATTTACAAGTTCGTATCTACCATTGCATATAATACATAAGCATGTTTACACACTTGTAGAGATATATCTGTACCTGAAAAACACAAATGAAATGTAAAACTCGAATGCAGAAAATATAATTTAATAAAACGTGTTTCCAGTCGTAGAACTACAACAGTACAATTTCACAGTTACATGTTTAAAAAGACAAAAGTAGATTCACAAAGTTAAACGATTTCAAGTCATGCATGACGCCCCGCCCCTCTCTGAGTATTTACGATCTTCTTTCACGGAAATGTACGGACAGGTATAATACCCGTCGCCCCTCTCCTATTTCTCAATAAAGTGAAGGAAAACACGGCGTCCATTCTAACTTTTTTTTTTATTTCTATAAAAAGTCCAATATTATTGGTATCAAATGAAAGATTACTCCATAAACTTTCTATGAGTGCCTCGGAAATAAAAATGAATTAAATAGATGTATTGAATTTTTTGGGTTTTTTTACTCTGAAAATAACGTACACTCTCGAATTTGTAAGAAAAACACGGCGTTCCCTCCAAACTTTTTTTTATTTCGTAATATATTTTGATGATTTTGGATTGAAATAAAAGTGTGCATAATACGATATATGATATATAATTATATAATGCCTCAAAATAAAAATGAATTAAATCAAAATGAATTAACTTTTCGTTAAAAAGTTTATCATGTTACTTTCTGTAAAATAGAGAAAATAAGAATCCCTAAAGAACGCTCAAAACGACAAAATTGAGAATGTTGCAGGCCCGGTTTGATTGAGCCTGCTCATGGACGGTAATGGAAAGAGCAAGTTATCGTCCACGCCCCCTAGCACCGGCTTAAGCAAAATTCACCATGAACTGGCACAATTTTGAATTTTGAAACATCCGCAGATGTGTTAATATGGCGATTATCATGGAACCTTCAATGTGACACGTAAGTGCCATACCATGAAAAACGGCATATGATCCCCAAGTAAAAAAAACACTCTGAAAATCAGTAAGAGAAACATGGCGCCCCCTACTTACTTTTTTTTATTTCTTGGTCAATTTTGATAATTTTAGAATATGATAAACAAGATCATCAAGGAAAGGCGGCGTTGATAATTTTAGACTCAAGTAAAAAAAATCTGAAAACAAAGTGATCCCTCGGAAGCATTAATCACAACAAAATTACATAAGAATTGCAGACTCGGTTTGATTGAGTCTGTACATGAGAGATAATGAATAAGTGCAACATCCCTCACGGCCCCTAGCACCGGATTGAGCGGTACTCAATTCTCAACACTTAATAGTGCTTAAGAATCCTAAATGAACTTTCTAGTGATGCCTTAAAAATGAAAATTAATTACGTAGAAGTGTTAAAAATTTTGTTTCTAACTTATCGTTGTTTTTTTTTTCTCTTAAATCCACACTCATATATTCGGAAAAAATAACTTCGCTTCCTATAGATACTTTATTCAAAAAGGAAATTGAATATTGAATGAAGTTAAGACCATAAGTTTTGAACAAGTATATTAAAAATCTGGAAACAAAGTTATCCCTCGGAAGCATTAATCACCAAAATATACATAAGAATTGCAGATTCGGTTTGATTGAGTCTGCACATGTGGGATAATGAACAAGTGCAACATGCCTCACGCCCCCTAGCACCGGCTTGAACGGTACTCAATTCTCAACACTTAATAGCGCTGGCATCAATGATCCCGAAAGACCAGAAAAATATAACAACACTGAAGTGAAGTACGGGGCAACTTTTTACAGCTGCCACACGGCAATTGACACCTGCTGTTGTGAAGTATAAAAATCTGGAAACAAAGTGATCCCTCGGAAGCATTAATCACTACAAAATTACATAAGAATTGCAGACTCGGTTTGATTGAGTCTGTACATGAGGGATAATGAACAAGTGCAAAAAGTTTTTATTCATACTGAAAATACCTTATTAAAGATTGTACATATGTGCTACGGATAAGTATTTTCTTGATTTCGGAAAGGAAATCTCGGGGACCGCTTTAAAATATATTTGCATAGTTTTTGTTGAAAATGAAGTTTGTGCCAATACATTTTTCAATGATACCAATAAGAAAATTGGATGGTCTTTTACATTATCAATAAAATTACTCCCTTGAAGTTGTTCATCGTTTCCCCTAAAAATTTCCAAATCGCCGATGTTTCTCATGAATATATGATAAACAAGATCAACAAGGAAAGGCGGCTTCATTGAATGCAATCCCACATGACCCAGCAACAAGAACAAGTGACAAGAGGCCCAGGCGGACCCAAAACAAAACACAGGACAGGGCACTAGGCAGAGCACGGACAGGCTAATCACTAAAATGATAAATAATTTGTAACTGATAAGAACACGATGTTAAATAATAAGTAATGCATAAGTTATCTTCATCATAAATGGTAAAATCAGCAATTTTCAAGTGATGTTGCTAATGACAAAACTTTTGTAACAAATGTAACATATATATGTTATGAAAAATGCCGTATGTTGTCCTTCAGTTTTATTTAAAAATATGGGAGAGGCGCCGTTTTATACCTGTCCGCAATAGAAGTTCGTAAATACTCCGAGAGGGGCGGGGCGTTATGCTTGACTTAAAATCGTTTAACTTTGTGAATCTACTTTTGTCATTTTAAACATGTTACTGTGTTAACGTACTCTTGTAGTTCTACAACTGGTAACACGTTTTCTTAAACTCTATTTTCCGTATTTGAGTTTTACGTTTCATTTGTATATTTCAGATCTATAAGTGTGCAAACATGCATATGTATTGCATGCAATGGAAGATACGAACTTGTTAATTTGTTGTCGTTTTAGATGTTAGGTCAGTTGTTACGATATATATGTAAACTTGTTATATAAAGGCGGTAACCTTCAATTAAAAGATTGAATAAAGAGGTATACAATAAAAATGGTAGGCATATAAGTTCGTATTTTCAAAAGTCATTTCAAAAAGGAACACTTTATGTCTGGAATTTTGGCAACGAACGCCCTCCATACATTACATGCATGACCAGTTGACTTCGTTTTTACACATTACATTTTTAGTGAATGCATGAATAAATCATATCAGACATTAGCTTCTGAGTATCAATTGTCTACAGGTGTCATCGATTCAATCGATATCGGTGTATTCAAATTGTTCAGTTTTCATAGTTTATCTCTTTTGCATTTGTCTATATATAACTGCTTTGTCAGTGTCCTTCGGAAACATTTAAAAAGACTTGAAAGCTAAATTTTGGCCTGGCAATCGATATATCGCTGTATCGCCGATAATTCATTACCAATGTATCGATACAAAAATCCTTTTCGATGACACCTCTACAATTGTCCAACTCCAAAATGTGTGTCGAATCACAGAAACTTGAAATTCTATCAATATTAACGATAATATCCAAAATATACCCCTATACAGTATAAATAAATTTATTTATACTGTATAGGGGGTATATTTTGGATATTATCGTTAATATTGATAGAATTTCAAGTTCCTGTGGTCGAATATAGATCTAGATGTTTCAATATCGAGCAAATGAAAACTCGCAATCTCCATATTTCCCAACACACAATTTAAGGTATTTGCGTTTTCGCGCGCAAAGTGATGTAAATCATGCATATTTATAAGGTCAAATTTAAACCCACCATTCAGGTAATTGTTTTATAAAGCGGACTGTAAGTGACGTTATAAAGTGAATATTAAACGAGACCAAGTAAAGTTTGACAATATTAATCCGTAGCTGTTCTACAGAAATTAGAAACATTCTCCGGTCGCTGAGTAAAAATGACTCCCGTCGAAGTTTTTAAATTCTGTAGAACAGCACGGATGAACACTAACATATACATGGCGATTCAATATTCACACCACTCACTGAGGGCATAAACAAAAGAAAACTATGACGCATGATGACGCACTTTTAAATGATTGCATTGCAGAGATTGACCCTTGATGAGATCATTTCTTCTAATCCGTGCATTATTATAGACGTTGAAATATGATTTTTTTTTCAAAACGGCTTATATTCAGTTTATATATATATATATATGATCAGTACATGTGCTGGGAATGACAAATATGCATTTATTTGGGCTTTAAAGGCGTTTTGAGCTCCACACCCCAAGTGTCTGCGTTTCTGTCT